GGCATTTGGACGATAGTTTTTTTGCGTCCGAAGTACATTTACGTAGGAGGTTTTGTAGAATGAGAGAAAGCGGGTAGAGACAAAACAGGAAGAGGCAAAGGAAGGGAGATTGATCAAGTGCAACATCATTTGCAGTCTCAGAAAAGAAAGGGATAGACTCGAAGAATGTAGCGTCAACACAGACAAATTCACGACATGTCAAATTATAGCACTTACAATTTTTTTATGTGCAAGTATAACCCAAGAAAATACACTTTGACAGATTTAGGATTAAGTTTGTCTATGCCTGGACCTAACTGATGAAAAAATGCTACACAACTAATGGCATGTGATGAAATAGAGAATAAAGGTTGATCAGGAAATACAAGTTGGTATGAAATTTGACCATTGAGAACAAACGAAGGCATATGATTAATTGGGTAACATGTGGTAAGTACAACATCACTCCAGAAAACTTTAGACAACATCACTCCAGAAAATTTTAGGTACTTTCATATGAATTAGAAGGGCATGGGCAACGTCAATGAGGTGGTATTTTTGCGTTTGGGCACCCCATTAGGTTGTGGGGTGCTACTACACGAAGTGCGATGGAGCAAACCATGGGCAGTGAAAATATCACAAAATGGGTGAGAATGATATTCTTTTGCATTATCAGTTTGTAAAGATCCACAGACCCACCAAATTGAGTCTTAATTTTTACAACAAATGTTTTGAAAGTAGAAATCAATTCAGAACGATCTTTCTTTAAGAATAGTCAGGGCATCTAGAAAAATCGTCTACAAAGTTAACAAAATTATTAAACCCTGAAAAAGAAGAAATACGACTAGGACTCCAAATATTAGAAGGAATAGCTTCAAATAAATTAGAGACACGATTATTAACTATGGGAGTAAATGAACTCTGAATATGTTTACCGAACTGACATGATTTACATCTAAAGAGGACACCTGACGCAATTGATGAACCTGACTGTTGAAGGATTCGTAAAGATGGATGACTAAGTCGAAAATGCCACTGATGTGAAAAATATGAAGTGTGCAAAATAGAGTTGCAAGTCAGAACTGCATCAAGATAGTAAAGATTACTATCTTCATGACCTCCACCAATCATTTTGCTTGACGGTGGTCCTGAAACACACAAAAAGAAGGATAAAACATTATTGAATTGCTCAAAGATTTAGTGAGTTGACTTATAAATAACAAATTGAATGGATATTTAGGAACATGTAAGACTGAGGATAAAGATCACGAGGAAGTAGGGTTCACAGGGCCAACACCACAGACTAAGGACGAAGACCCATCAGCTAAGGTGACATGTTGGTTAGTCGAAATATGATGAAAGCTTGAGAGAAAGAGAGACGTAATTGAATAGGGAATAGAACTCATAGATTTCCATTGATCAAAGAGAGATATATATAGTTACACATGTGGGAATAAGGTAATGATTCTATTACTCCTAACTCACTAATAGTACCATAAAGATTTATTGGCCTAACGACTATTTTGTGGAATGTACCTTTTAGTTTGAGTTGTATACGTTATGCATGCTTTACCTTCCTATTTGAATGTCTACTGTTTACTCTGTATCATTCCATATTTTCAGTTTCATTTCCAGCTACTTGAATTCTTTTGATTTTTAATCTTCTCTACATATTTAATTTGCTACTATCCTCTATTTACTAATCAATAAATACAAGAGCATCATAACAAACTCCAAACCGGTAATTCAAAAATCCTAAATCCACAAATTACCAAATCCCAAATCTAAAATTTGACAAAAAGTCACAATTATGAATCTAAACACACGTTGTAACGTCAAAAAATCTAAATCGTAATGGAATTGACAAATTGATTATACCATGTGTGTATTTATATACCTATATATAAAATATGTAAATTTATACATAAGTACTTTTCAAGGGATGGGACATCCTTTAAGGATGATTAACCATCTTAATTCTAGTACCAGCTTGTAGTGGTTGGATGGTTGGTGATTCGATTTAGTGTATAGATTGGGGATGGTGGTGGGTGTGGTGGCAATGTGGGTAAAAAATCTGGAATGAGATTATTATAGGGAGATAGATCGAGAGTCGAGAATGTGAGAGAGAGACTAAGAATCATGAGACAATTAGAAGAGGAAAGAGAGAGGGTTTCATGGATGCATAAGAATGAGAAAGAAGGAAAGGGTTAAAAATAAAAAAGAGGAGTATGAAAGGGGAGTGAGGTGGAAAGAGGGAGAAGAAAAGATATAGAGACAGATGGGTAGTTGGATTGAGAACGGGGAGAGAGAGAGCTAGAGAGACCCACATAAGGACTGATACAATGGTTAAGATCATGTTATTGTTGTATATGGTAATGTTTGATTCTTTCCAAAAAAATACCCTCTTCATGATAGAATATCAGTGGAAAAATAAATTAGAATACACAAATTTTAAATCAATATCAGACTCTTGCAAGCTGGGAATTGCTTAGGTATGGTTTGGATACAAAAATGAGTTTGAACAATTGATCAGATTTAGTTGGTATTATATTATGAACAAGCTTGACCGATCTAAAAATGAGTCAAGTTCGAGCCAAGCATGAGTTACTTGATTTGTTTAATAGTCCTAACTTCACAAAAAGAGAAAGTGATGTGATATATAGATCAATTGTATTATACCTACGAGTTAGTAAATCAAGCTAGGTTCAAAATTTCGTTTCGGTGTAATGTTTTGGTTACCTAGGAAACGGAAATGTTTCGAACCATTTTCGAAAATAGAATAAAAAAAATAAAAAATTTAAGAATTATTTTTTCAAAAATATTAGTCAAAATATACCAAAATATTTTGAAATATCTTAAAACATTCTGAAATAATTGTACAAATGTATTGAAATATAACAAAACATTATGGAACACCTCGAAGTAATAGAATTCGATTCCATAACTGATTCGTTTCGATCTCCTTAGAAACGAAAAAGTTTTGAATGATTTGACCGTTTCAAAATAATATTTTGATCATTGGAATCAAGCAAGGTGTTTTTGTGCTNTAATTGTACAAATGTATTGAAATATAACAAAACATTATGGAACACCTCGAAGTAATAGAATTCGATTCCATAACTGATTCGTTTCGATCTCCTTAGAAACGAAAAAGTTTTGAATGATTTGACCATTTCAAAATAATATTTTGATCATTGGAATCAAGCAAGGTGTTTTTGTGCTGAATAAAAAAGGTTTAGTTTAACATAATACATAGTCCTTGATAGAGCACAATGACAAAATAAGATATCAAATAATGNTGCTACTACACGAAGTGCGATGGAGCAAACCATGGGCAGTGAAAATATCACAAAATGAGTGAGAATGATATTCTTTTGCATTATCAGTTTGTAAAGATCCACAGACCCACCAAATTGAGTCTTAATTTTTACAACAAATGCTTTGAAAGTAGAAATCAATTCAGAACGATCTTTCTTTAAGAATAGTCAGGGNTGGACCCCAAATTGTTGGAATAAGCTTCAGCTAAGTTGAGTTGAGTATGTAATTTATGTTTGTTGGTATTGCACTTTATAAGATTCATTCTCTCTCAATAACAAGGGGAAATATTATGGAATCCTCAAATTTGTTTTTATCCGGTTTTGAGGTACGGGGCGAGATTCCTTTGTGGTGAAAGGGGATANGAAAAAGAAGAAATACGACTAGGACTCCAAATATTAGAAGGAATAGCTTCAAATAAATTAGAGACACGATTATTAACTCTGGGAGTAAATGAACTCTGAATATGTTTACCGAACTGACATGATTTACATCTAAAGAGGACACCTGACCNTACAAATGGAGTCTTTTCAGGGGGAGCTATACTGGTGTGTAATCAGAGGGATGCCTAACTTGGGGTCCCTTTGGAGTACAAGTTGAGGCTTTCCTAAAGTCAGCTTTCTTCGTTTTGCTGGTTGCCTCAGAATCTATGCTTACCGTTGGCAATCTGAGGTGTAGGATGAATATTGTCTTGAATTATTGTTCTGTGTAGGAGTTGAAATNTACAAATGGAGTCTTTTCAGGGGGAGCTATACTGGTGTGTAATCAGAGGGATGCCTAGCTTGGGGTCCCTTTGGAGTACAAGTTGAGGCTTTCCTAAAGTCAGCTTTCTTCGTTTCGCTGGTTGCCTCAGAATCTATGCTTACCGTTGGCAATCTGAGGTGTAGGATGAATATTGTCTTGAAGTATTGTTCTGTGTAGGAGTTGAAAGNGGGGCGAGATTCCTTTGTGGTGAAAGGGGATACAAATGGAGTCTTTTCAGGGGGAGCTATACTGGTGTGTAATCAGAGGGATGCCTAGCTTGGGGTCCCTTTGGAGTACAAGTTGAGGCTTTCCTAAAGTCAGCTTTCTTCGTTTTGCTGGTTGCCTCAGAATCTATGCTTACCGTTGGCAATCTGAGGTGTAGGATGAATATTGTCTTGAATTATTGTTCTGTGTAGGAGTTGAAATGGCACAGTAAATCTACATTCTGTGATGACTCACATTATGGAGCATGTTTTTTGCTCAGCCTGCTATCCAGTGGGTATGGTCTTTGCTGTTAGAGATGGTCACTATTTAGGAAGAGATTTAGAAAGCGTGGGATAGAGCCCCACTTTGAATGATATGATTGATTTTGATTGCGGGGACCAGAGTCTTTTGAGGGATACAGCTGTCCCTGTACAAGCTGATGTGCCATGCTGAATATCTTCTTTTATCGCAGTGAGGTGTACCCAGTTTTTTGGATTCTTTGGGTGAGTTTTAGTTGGATGCATAGTTGTAGATATATGTCAATGCTCCTTAGTTGCTCCTTTTGGCATTTTATTATGAAATACATAAAAGCCAAAAAAAAAAAAAAGTGGAGAATACAAAACCTGTTCTTATGTACTTTCCAGACATTGAACCCTACCCTTATTTAGCTACCTTTAGCTGGGTGTCTCCCTCTGATTTTCCATGTGTCTTTCCTTGGTAGACACGCTATTCTCCTTATTAGAAACTCTGCCGAAGAAATGGCTCCTGCTGTAAGTGGTCATGAATTGACAGAACTAGAGCAAACTAGAAATCCTTGTGAAACTGCCTTCAATGAAGTTGGGACTTTTATTTGACAAAAAAATGAATATGTCCAGAACTGGTCCGTATATTTGGTTAGTAATTTGACTCTCTTGTCTGGTAGGGGCATTTTTTTTTGTTTTGGTGTGAAAGAAAGAGCTATGATTCTAGTAGGTTCTTAGTTGACTTGCTGTGTATGTCTCTATAGTGTTGTCGCATTTCAAATTGAACCATTGCTTATGAACTTAATGGGTGAACAGGCTTAGCTTGATGGTTGATACTGAGTTGCTATACTTTTCCTCAATAATTAGATTTGTTTCTTACAAAAAGAAATATTGAGTTGCTAATGGCAATAAGATGAAGGCATTGTTGACAAGAGAAATGACACGGCGAAAGAGAGAAGTTTTGCCAAACTTGGCAGTTTAGTTGTTAGTGGTGATAGTCCCTAAGAGAGAGTGGGTGAATGAAAATGATACTTGGTGGCTTTGGCTGGTAGAGCAGAAGAAATTGGATGGGGAGGGTAAATCGGTCATTCAGATACTTTAATTAATGAACTAATTCCCCAAATTGGTCAAAATGGTGAACCCTAGCTAGCGACAATCAAATTCCAACCTGCCATGAGTTTGGGGTGGGTTTGTGTGGCCCTTTGAATCCATGGGTTGGGCCTAGGCTAGCATTCAAGTCAACTCATCGTAGCTGAGTTGCAGCCTGGTCTAACATCTATTTGCTGAGTACAAGAGATAATTTACTAATTAATTTGGATTCAGTTTATCTTCGATCCAGGCTCCAGGAGGTTCTTTCTTGAGCTTATGGGAGGGTTTTTGAAAATCATATTCATGTTGGAATCCAGGACAGTTGAATTGGTTATAAAAGTATTTTGTGGTTCCTTAGATCTCTTAGTCTTGTGAGCTAAGGATGGTTTTACTTATTTTTCTTTCTTCTGGCCTTCACATACCTTTGCATGTATTTGGGCACACTAATTCAACAGCTATCAAACATTTGATCAGCAATGAGCTGTCCCATACATAGTTAATCTCATAATATTCTTTGGCAAATGATGATATAAATGTAAAAGAATAAATGTGATGTTTTGTAAAGAATTTAGTTTTTCATGTGTGAAAGATGCACACTTCAATGCTCTTGTATACAAAAACTACTATATACCCCACAGTTGCAAGACAAGGTTGGCAGGCTGGGCATTTATAGTTTCATCCTGTCACAGTTAATATTCAAGGTAAGGTTGCGACTGTTTCATCTTCAAAAAAGGAAAAAAAAGGTTGTGACTGTTTGATAATTGTGATGTGTGGGCTAATACATATATTTGAACTCCATTCTATTTTAAACAATCAACATGACCTATGATTTCTAAATGGTGTCATTCATAATATTTCTTTCTAGTTCTNCTATTTTAAACAATCAACATGACCTATGATTTCTAAATGGTGTCATTCATAATATTTTTTTCTAGTTCTCACACACTCAGCACTGTAATAGGACGTGGTAGGGGACCAAGAGGACTCTGTGGATGAGGTTCAGCATATGGATAATTCTGGAAATGAGGGGTCACCAGACAACGGGGTAGAAAAGGTGAAAGTGGACTTTGGCCATGTATGTTTTCTTCCATAAATTGAAGTTGGATGTTGAAATCTTGCTGAAAATTATCTTCATAATGATATAGCATGCTGAAAAGAAAGAGGGAGAGTCTGCAGTTTCCGACAAAACTGGTCTTGATACTGGAAGTAAGGTACCTGCTGATCTTCGCCTATCTCTTTCTCTGTCCTAATTGAAACTTTCTCTGCCATAAATTCATTTCCGTTCTTATCTCAAGTTTCCTATGTAATAGTTAGGCCTATGGTTTGTTCTAATGGGGATCAATCTTTTCATTTTTCACTTAGTAATATTTTAAGTGATCCAATTGCCTTTGGTGAAAACCAGAAAGCAAAGTAATAATTCACATAAGGCTGCTATTATGGAAGCAATAAAGAAAAATAGTGTCAGGTTGGCATGGTTATATTTAAATCAAAACATTGCTTTATGATTACCAAGGACACTAAAACTCGTAATCGGGTTGATAATGCCGTAAGTTGTAGGCAGGTTGTTGTGGTAATTGGCTGGCTATGCACCAGCGTTTTGGTGCTCACCTTAAAGCAGATGATGAACATGTGTTTTTGTTCTTTCTACTATTGTTGCACAAGTCTTACTATGTGTGCCAGNTGCCTTTGGTGAAAACCAGAAAGCAAAGTAATAATTCACATAAGGCTGCTATTATGGAAGCAATAAAGAAAAATAGTGTCAGGTTGGCATGGTTATATTTAAATCAAAACATTGCTTTATGATTACCAAGGACACTAAAACTCGTAATCGGGTTGATAATGCCGTAAGTTGTAGGCAGGTTGTTGTGGTAATTGGCTGGCTATGCACCAGCGTTTTGGTGCTCACCTTAAAGCAGATGATGAACATGTGTTTTTGTTCTTTCGACTATTGTTGCACAAGTATTACTATGTGTGCCAGGTTAACTGCGGATATACATGTTTACAGTAAATATTACTTGCTGATGAACGCATAAGACATGTATGCAATACTTGAGCCAATGTTACCTAGATCGTGGATCACTTTGGTATGTGATACGGGTACGGATACGCGATACAACACTTTCTTAGGTACGCGGTACGATGGGGATAGGTTTAGCTGATACGATATTTTGAGTCGCAGTTCGTTTTTGAACTCTTATCTAAATGGTTTTCACTAATATACAACATTATATATCATAAAACATCCATAAATATTAAGTTAGTTACGATTTATCTTACATTTGTGTTCGATTTTCTATTATCTTAAATAATATATAATTATGAATTTATATATATGTAGTTAATTAATATGTATTTTATATTTGTACTATGTATATAATTTGAGCTCGTACATTTTGGTGATCTATATTGTGAACCCATTCTGTTTAAAATCAATGTACCTAAATCGTGGATTGTTAGAGGTTTAGTAAATTCTTGTAACTATTGAGCCACAATTCACCCATAACGGGCCAAAAAGAAATGTTTTGTAATTTTTCATTGGAAAAACCTAAAAGTCTATTTGCTCTCGTGGTGCCTCTTCTCCCTAAAAATCTGAAATTTCCAGGGAAATTCTAACGGGCATAAATGGAGTGCACATCTATTTNGCATAAGACATGTATGCAATACTTGAGCCAATGTTACCTAGATCGTGGATCACTTTGGTATGTGATACGGGTACGGATACGCGATACAACACTTTCTTAGGTACGCGGTACGATGGGGATAGGTTTAGCTGATACGATATTTTGAGTCGCAGTTCGTTTTTGAACTCTTATCTAAATGGTTTTCACTAATATACAACATTATATATCATAAAACATCCATAAATATTAAGTTAGTTACGATTTATCTTACATTTGTGTTCGATTTTCTATTATCTTAAATAATATATAATTATGAATTTATATATATGTAGTTAATTAATATGTATTTTATATTTGTACTATGTATATAATTTGAGCTCGTACATTTTGGTGATCTATATTGTGAACCCATTCTGTTTAAAATCAATGTACCTAAATCGTGGATTGTTAGAGGTTTAGTAAATTCTTGTAACTATTGAGCCACAATTCACCCATAACGGGCCAAAAAGAAATGTTTTGTAATTTTTCATTGGAAAAACCTAAAAGACTATTTGCTCTCGTGGTGCCTCTTCTCCCTAAAAATCTGAAATTTCCAAGGAAATTCTAACGGGCATAAATGGAGTGCACATCTATTCACTGGTGTATGTTGTTCGCTTTGTTTAGTATTTAGTTAGTGATGCAGATGCTAAGGTCGTTTGAGGTTTTTAGTAGTTGGAGAGAGTCTCAAGTGAGTCAAAAGCCAAGGTCTGCGAGTTTTGTTCTTTCTTTATTGTCGTTCGAACGTCTATCTAATTTGCAAATTCTTTCGTCTATACCTAATTTTTTTTCTACTAATATTTTGTCCGATAATCAAAATGCATGGACTTTTGTAATGTGGTTTCTCTAATTAAATTATTTGGCCAACTCTCGAGTTTGAAAGTTAGTATGTCCGAAAGTGGAGTTATAAGTATTAATTTGGAGAAGGTTGTTAAAAAATTTTACTTCAGAGGTCAATTCTGCTGTTCAAGGGTGGCCTATAGTTTATCTAGGGCTACCATTAGAGAGAAATATGTGATTGTTGTCTTTTTGGGACCCAATAACTTAAAAAATAAGTAAAAGATCGGATGGTTGGAAGGGGCATATTTTTCTGTGGGAGAAAGGATCTCTTAGGTGAAAGCTTGTTTGTGTTTAGAATCCTTGTAGTTGTAGCTAGGAAATTAGAGAAGATGATGAGGATTTTCCTTTGGTTTGGGATGAGAGATGATAAACAGTATCATTTAGTGAGTTGGAAGACAGTTTGTAAGCTGATAGATAAAGGGGATTGGGACTTGGTGATTTAGTGTCTAAAAACATTTCCCTTGTAGGTAAACGGTCATGGAGGTTCTGGTTAGAATAGAACTCCCTTTGGCATAAGGTTAATTAGAAGTAAGTAGGGCATAATGTAACTCATATGAGTTTGTGGAAGTTCATTTCATAGATTTACCCTTCTCTTCTTCCTTTGCTTTGGTATAAAGTTGGAGATAGATCTAAGTTCTATTTTGGGAGGATACATTGGCTTGGGATTCATCTTTTAATAATTTTTCTCCGTCTTTGTGGTTGGTCGTCACTACATGAGGATCCCATATCCTCTTTTCTTGTTTTGGGGACGTTCTTTTATTCATGGGATTGTCATTTCTTTAGACATCAAGATCACGAAGCAATTGATTTGACTTCTTTGCTTCATATTCTCCATAATTGCCACACGTTTTTCTCATGATCGTAGAATTTGGACTGTGGATAAATTTGGTATTTTCTCTTGCAGATCTTTTACCTCACATCTTCTTAGCTCTTAGAACACTGTGTCTTTCTCCTTAGCCAAATTTATTTGGAAAACCAAAGTCTTAATCGAGTGAACACTAGGGTTTTGTTGTAGGTGCAGAGGCCTTATAAAGCTTTGAGCTTTGGTATTTGTCTTCTTCGAGCAGTGGAGAGTTGAATTCTCATTTATTCATTTTCTGTTGATTTGCTTGCGGTTTGTGGAATACTTATTTCAAGTGATTGGTAAGGCCCGAAGAGATGTTACAAATTAAGTTTTAGGGTTTTGGAAATAAAAGAAAGAAGCAAAGGTACTATGGAATTGTGCGTTAATGGCACTTTTTCAGTGTATCTGGATGTAGAGGAATACAAATTTTTTAATAATCGTTATCTTCCTTCCGAATTAGTATGAGAAAAGAACTTAACCAATTAGTCACTGCATATAGGTTTAAAAGAACAAAATCCAATCCTTTTGTTTTCCTTAAGCAAAGTGAGGAAAGTGGATCATACATTAATTACTACTGAAAATTCATCTTCACTTCACTTCCCTCAGGAACTTTTTCCAAATGAAAATCTAGGGATCATAAATTAATACCTAAGGATTGAGGTAGCCAAATGAAAGGAAGGGTTATTTATGCTATCTATGTTTGTGATGTTCTTGAAAACAAATGTTTGGTGGGGCCATACCAACAATCAATCCAATTGATGCAAATACAAAGTTCATCAGAGATACAGGTACACTTAAAGATCAAAATTTTGTTTCGAAACGATCGAAGCAACTCATAATGCGAGTAACATTATGTAAGACGTTGCATAAACTGACGGACTACTCCAAGAGCAAATGCCATGTCTAGTCATCTAACAATCCAATATATCAATTTTCCATAATTAAACCAATAGCATGGTGCCTTGAGCACTATAATTGATAACCCCATAATATAAATGCCATCAAGAAACTTTCACCAAAAAAAAAATCATATGTACATTGACATAGATTTTTCACACTTATCATTAAACAATGTTTTCCAAATATTTACAACTGGACTCCTTGTAAAACCTGGTTACCAGAAATACAAAATTGTTGGAGAATGAGCACAACACGGTCAGTGAGTGTACCTCTTCATGAAATATATATTAACAAAAATCTAGAAAGCACGGATACTTGCCGAGAGGTCGGTGTGGCAGTGTCTGACACATGTCCGATATGGATACACATGGAACACGGCTGGACACATGTCCGACGCTTATAAAAGTGCCCTGAATAGTGAAAACAATTTTTTTGAGCTAGATACGGCAAGGATATTTGAGGGATACGATTAACTCAGTTATGAATCGCTAGACTGGTCTTGACTCGGTGGATTCGGACAAACTCGTAACCAAGTCACGCGATTTGTGGTGGGATCGTTTAGATCGGTCAAAAGTAACAAAGAAGAAATTGAAATCAAACTTACCAAATCAAGCCACATCGAGTTTCCCTCACCCTCTTCTTCTTTTTCTTTTTCTTTTTCTTCACCACTTGGTTATGACTCCTATTGCTGCTAGCTTTGATCACAATATCCAGTGAAGTTCTCTATCTGTCTCTCTCTATCTATGTGAACCAAAGAGTCGTCGCTACTGCTGCTAGCTTCGATCGAGATTGCGATCGCCAGGGAAGTTCTCTCTCTCTCCGAAGAGTCGTCGGTGTCTCTCAAGTCGTTATTGAGTCATGTGCCTTTTTTGGGTTTGAGATTATAAAGGGTTTTTTGGATATAGAGGTATTAAAGAGGGTTTTTATTTCTTGAATATGAGGAGTTAAGTGCGTTTACTTATTTATAAAATTTTATTCTATTATTGTCATATTAGTAGATTGTAAATGA